TGGCTTCCGAGGGGGTCACACCGACGCTGCGAGGCAGCTTCCACCCTGCCCTCGGGACACCCTGTCTTCTGGGGAGTCGCTGCCAGAGCGTCTGGGGACCCTGAGGCTGCCACGCGGTGAGGTGGCCCTGGGCCCACGGCAGGAGGCATGTACCCACGCGCTCTGCCCTGGCAGCAGCTCCAGCCGACCGCCAGCACCAAGCATGTCCAGAGACTCCAGCCCTGGGCCTCGCGGCCCTCTCGGTCTTCCAGTCCCCCCAGCTGCGGCCCCGGATGCGGTGCAGCAGAGACAAGCTGGCCGTCCGTGTCCTACCCGGCTCCCTGACCCACAGAACCTACGCGTGCAACAGAGTGGCTGTCCGTGCACCAGACTCACACTGCATCGGCGCGCCAGAGCGGGCGCTCTGCGCGGTACTGAGCACCAGGCACTGAGCACCAGGCACTGAGCACCAGGCACTGTGCTGAGGGCTTTCCCAGCACCGCCTCAGCCCCAAGAAGTAAGCCAAAGGGAGTTATTTATTCCTACTCCCATTGCACCAGCACGAAAACCGAGGCTCCGAGGGACTCGGCCGATAGCCCGAGGTCCCACAGCTGAGCGCCAGAGCCGGGCTTTGAACCCAGACTGGCGGACTCAGGAGGGCTTTCCCTCAGGAGGCGGGAAAACGAGGAGGACAGAGAGCTGTTGGGGGCGGGGGGGGAGCAGGGAGCAGTGCTGAAGGGACAAGTACGGGAACCCGAGGCGCGGGCCGAGCTCTTCCACGCACTTGCTTTGCTGCCACGGACTCTTCAGGGAGAGCCTGCCGTGGGTTCAGCCGCGTGGGGGCGGGGCTCACAGAATCTGGGGCCGTCCTCACCCGTTCCAAGGCACACGCAAACATGATTGCCCTCTCTGGGGGTCAGCGTTCTTTATAATTTCTGCTCTCCAGGAAAGTATTATTTCATCTACATAAAGGAAACATTACATACGGGGGGAAACCCAAAACGTGGCATTCCTGGCCGGGCTGTCTCCACGGACCAGAGACGGAGGAGGTTTCTGCGTTTCCTTTCTCACAGGCTGTCCGCTTGTCGGCATAGCCCCTCCCCAGGGCGCAGAGCGGGGGCAGGTCTCTGTGGGGGCGGGGGGACCTCTGCAGAGACGCGCCACAGTCTGTGGTCCCCGCGCCCCAGGCAGGCAAGCTGGTTAGAGAAGGGGGTGCAGACGCGAAGAGGGGTCGGGGAGCTCCCACTGGCCTCCTGCCGGCTCCTCGGCATGCCACGCCTTGCCCCCCATGGCTTCTGCCACCCGTTGCCCCCACTGATGTGTCAGCCCCAGGAGGGCAGGCCTGTGCCTCGCTCCGGGGCCTGCGGCCCACGGCGGCTGCCTGGTTCACAGCAGGCCGTTGGCAGGGGAGTCTTGGAGGGAATGCATGAACACATCCTGGGGCTGGCCTCCCTCCCTTGGCAGGTGTGGGGGTGCCCGACTGCTGGGAAGAGAGCCCGGAGCAGCAGTTCGGGCCCCTCCCGAGGAGCCGAGGAAGGCCGCGTTCCTGCCGTTCCCGGACTGCAAGAGGCACATTCCTGTCCCGGGGTCTGCTCGGGCTCCTGCCACGCAGCCCGGTCTGACTGCCAGGCCGGGGCAGGCCTCTTCGGAGCGGCCCCTCGGGCCCCGCCCTCCACAGACCCCTGGCTGTCCCCGGGCTGCAGAGGCCGTGGGTGGGAAGCCAGGACCACCGAGCAGCTCCGAAGCTTTCCAGGCCTCTGGTGATCGGTGAAAGCCTTAGCATCCTGGCCCAGGGCTGCAGCGGGGGTGTGGGGAACAGGCGGGAAACACCCCCGTGAGCCGGCTGCTCCTCGGCGTGAAAACTGCTGGCGTCGGCACTTCCCTGGGAGGGAGTGCAGAGTCAGCAGTGCCGGCTCCGGAGCTCCTTCGGGAACCAGGTGTCTGCAGGGCCCAGCAAGGAGCTCAGAGGCCTGGCCTGAAGGGATGAGGGCAGCAGACAGGGTTCTTACCCCGGGGACCTCGGTCCGAGGGGGAGGGAAGGCAGACCCGGGACACACAAGCACGGACAAGCGTCTGATGTGCAGGAAGGAAGGGCGAGGGAGAGGCCCGGAGAGTCGTAAAGGGGGGGATTCTGGGAGGGGCCTGCTAGTTGAGTGTTTCAGGCTCTGCAGGGCCGGGGGTGGCTGTCTGTGTCCCACCCACTCAGCTCTGCCCTGCAGTGTGAGAGAGGCCACAGACAATAGTCCATGGGTGGGTGTGGCTGTGCTCCGACACAAACAGGGGCCGTGGGTTTGGCCCTTCCTGTGCCAACCCCTGGTGTAACAGGTGGGGTGGGGTGGGACGGGGGTGGCCTGACCCGGTCTGGGACGGGCGGGGGGCTGGGTGGGAGGAAGCGCTTCCCCGAGGCAGCACATCTTGCTGACACCTGAAGGGTGATTCGATGCTAATGGGAATCACAACGCTGACAACAATAACATCACCCCAACAAGAGGTGTTGCACTTGCTGAACGAGCTCCGTGTGTCTGGCTCAGCGCGCAGGGCTTTCCACCTGGGGCGCCAGTGAACTCCCTCGACCACCCTCGAGGGGGGGTCCGCGTGCCCCTTACATACAGATGGGGGAACTGAGCCGTGGCGGGTGCCGTGGGTTCTGTCTGACCCCGCACACCCGAGCCCTCTCTGGGACTCCTCAGTCACTGGGCGCGGGGACACTATTCCTGCCCGGGCCCCCCAGCCGGAGGTGCCGGGCACCCCGCCTCGCTCTGCGGGAAGCGCTTGTTCTTGTTCCCGCTTCAGCTTCACCCCGTCTCTCCCTTTGGGTGCTGGGTGCTGGGGGGTCCCCGTGAACAACAGAGCCAGGTGGAGGTGATGGTGGGTGGGGGGGGAGGGGAGTCTGGCTGACCTTGAGGGGGTGGGGCCCGGCTCCAGGCACTGCAGGCACTGCTAGGCAGGGGTCTCAGGTGAATGCAGCCGCTCCTTCCTGGCCCCAGAGCCTGTCGAGGGCCCGTCCCTGAGGCCCCCAATCAGCAGTGGTAGTTTTCGGAGCCGGGCTGCTGGTCTCCAACCCTCCCTCGAGCAGCGGGAGCTGGTGGTGGTGCTGACCTGGGCTGGGGGAGGAGGGGCCCCGGGCCGTGAATCCTCCGGCGCTGTCGGGAGGGCAGAGAGGAAGGGTGGCCACGGGGACCTCTGGGCACGGGGAAGCCAGAGGTGCGGCTTCTCCTGCTAACGCACGTTCACCACACACGGCTGCAGAGGCTTATTCGCACTCACTTGGGGGGAGACTCAGAAGGGCAGAACGTTTCCGCGTCTGAGTCTGCTCTCTGCTCCAGAATTCTGGCACCGTCTCCTGAAGGAACGGTCTGGAATGGCCGGTGTCTCCTATTGTTCCTTCTGCGGCCCCAAACACTTGCTGCCGGATCCTGCCGCTCTTCCCGACACCCCTGAGGACCCCTGCCCCGGTCCCCCGCAGGTCCGAGCATGCAGAAGGAACGCTGCGGACTGGGAGGGGAGGGGCTTCCAGGACAGGGGCAGAGCTGAGGCGGCAGAGACTGGACGGGCACCCGGGGGCTTACTTCAGGTCGCCTTGCTGGCGGGTCCCCTCTCCTGTGGGCCCGATACCAGGCTCAGGGAACCCTGTGGAAACCCAGCTGAGGCCCGCACTCCGTCTCTCGAGGCAGAGCGAACGGCAGCCCCGCCCGAGGCTCTGTGGACCCACCGGCGTCTCCCTCTGCTAAGTCACCACGGGGCCCCAGGGCTGCCTGGGGCCGGGTCCGGCCTGCGGGGTGCAGCCGGGAGAGGCTGGAGAAGAAGGGAGCCCGGGAAAAACCCCGGGCAGTCAGGGCGGAGGCCTCGCTGGCTGGTGTTCACGAGCGGCTGTTCCTGCCTCCTGCAGCCTCCGTGGTCCCGTGCCCGGCAGCAGACGTAACCGCCGCGCTGGCCGGGCGCCAGGCCGTGGAGCGAGCGGCTCGAGCAGGCCGACGGGCCGGGGGTGCCACATCTCCGGCCAGCAGCTTGCAGCAGCCACCCCTCCCCGAACACTCGCTGCACGTCGGACGACACCGAGTGCCTTCTAAGTGCCACTTCCATTCTGGCCTGCCCACGGTCCTGGATGAGGTGCCACTGCCCTCACTTGTCAGGCAAGGAAACCGAGGCCCAGAGGGGCGGAGTTGCCATCCAACGCTGCGGTGGCCCGGAACCCAGACTGGTGTGGCCCAGGCTCACACCGGGAGGCGGAGCACAGCTGGCCCCGGACCCCAGCCTGGCCCCTCCCTGGGCGGCAGCCGAGCCCAGCCCCGGTCAGGAAGCTGGTCGGAAGACAGATGAGAAGAAACCGTCACAGCGATAGCGACGAAGCACTTTCACCACATGCCCACAGGGGCAGCGCGCTTTACAGGCGCGAACCTGCCCGGGCATCACAGCAACCCTGCGAGGTGATTGCTAGCATTACCTCCGTTGTGCGGTTGAGGCCAGCAAAGACCAGACAAGTAAGATGACAAAGCTAGGAAACAGCACAGCTCATCAGGCTGACTTCAAAGCCGGGTCCTTAATCACTAGGGGATGCTGTGTGTGTGTGTGTGTCCCAAATATGTGAACGGAACTGGTGCTCCAGGGAGCTGAGCCATCTGTGGCACCAAACGCCCCAGCACCCTGTGCGCCCCTCCAGGGCACGTCAGCTCCAGGGCCCTGGGCCTGATGGTAAGGGCTCAGGTGACCCGGAGGAGATCCTGGGGTTTCTGTACTTACCCTGTGTGTGCCCCCAACCTGGGGTTCTGATCTCGCCTCTCTTGGGGCATTTAGGTCCCAGGCTCCTCCGGGGAGCCCCAGCCCAGGGGTGTCCCCCAGGAGTTCCGTGGGAGCAGGAGCCCAGGCACGTTGGTGTGGGAGGGCCGTGAGCAGGGACAGCTGAGCCCGCCAACCTGCAAACTGGACTGCGCCCTTTGGCCCCACAGGCAGGACTGACGCCGGCAGCCGCATGTGGGCCACTAGCGGGCGCGCCCCCACTCGGTTCCGTGTGGCTACAATACCTGCGAGGTCTTCCTTGGAAGAGACGAGTCTTGGAGAGCTGCTTCCTGGCTCGATTCTGAGCGACAGTCTGAAAACAAGGATGGTCACAAGGTCAGATGGGCTCTGCTGCCTTGGGACGGGGACCTGAGCGTGACCGCGCTGGTAACCGGCAGACCGGATTGCCGTAAGGACGGTTACGGTCGTGAAACCCAGGAATACTGCGAGGTCTGCTCCAGATCACAGCCACTTCCCTCCCAGTCCCCAGGGGACTTCCGTGACCAAGAAACAATGGGTAAGGATGACAGGGCGAACAGAGGAATCACGGCCCATTGCCGGCTGGGCGCCAACGTGTTCATTGTGAAGTCGACCCCGAGAACTAGGCAGGCACGTTGCCCGTCTCATAAACGGGGGAGCGGAGGGGCAGTGAGCGAAGGAGCTCTCCCAGTTCCTAGGCAGCGAGAGGCCGGGCATCAAACCCCAGAGCGTCTGAACCCGAACTGGCTTTGTTTTGTTTGGCTGTTTTGGTTTTTAGCCTCACCTGAGGACATGCGTAATGATTTTGGAGCGAGGGGAAGGGAGGGCTAGAGAGGGGGAGAGAAACATCGATGAGAGAGGAAACATCAACTGGTCGCCTCTCACCGGCCCCTGACTCAGGGCCGAACCCGCAGCCTGGGCGTGTGCCCTGGCTGGGAACTGAAGCTGCGACCTTTCGGTTCACGGGACATTGCTCCAACCAGGCCACACCGGCCAGGTGGGGCTTTTAATCATCACACACTCCCTCTCAGTTGTCCCCAGAGATGCAGGTGGCAACAGGCGCATTATGAGGATTGGCACCTCAGGATTATTATTATTTTCAAAAGGCATTAACTAAGCCCTGACTGGTGTGGCTCAGTGGGTTGGGTGTCGTGCTGCAAACCAACAGGTCGCCAGTTCAATTCCCAGTCAGGGCACATGCCTGGGTTGTGGGCTGGGTCCCCCCGATTGTGGGTGTGCGAGAGGCAACTGATAGAGGTTTCTCTCTCACGTCAGTATTTCTCTCCCTCTCTTTCTCCCTCCCTCCCCCTTTGTCTATAAATAGACAAGTAACTAAATACATAAATAAAAATCTTTAAAAAAAACATTAATGAAGAACTTCTGGGTGGAAACGACAGAGCGAAGCCAGATGCTAGACGCTCCCTCTCCCAGCGAAAGCGACAAACAAGCACGAAAGCCTGGGCGTGAACAAACTCACCACGTGCTCCTCAGCAAGGGGAGGGGCCTGAACCGAAGCCGTGAGCTGCAGGAACGTGCAGCAGCCAAGAGAAGAGAGGGGGACGGTGAGGTCCGACCAGCAGCGGTAACGCTGCACAACTCCTGCCCTGCCCACTGGGCCGTCTCTGTGGGGCTGACGGGCCCCTACCCTTCACTCTTCAAGCGGCCCCTGGCCGGAGAGACGGCGGGGCGGACGGAGAGCCTGGTGGACACTCTGAGGAAATGACGCCTCCGTCGGGGAGAATTACACACTCGAGGCGCCCCTTCCTGGGATGGGGTACGGCCTCCCACAGGGTGGAGGGAACCCTGATAGGGGTCTTTAGACAGAGCCCCCCCCCCCCCCGCCTGAAACAGGCTGCTGGCTCCCGTCCTCGTGGAGTCCAAGCCCCGCGCTCCCCCGGGTGCCCCGGACCTCACCGCCCAGCAGCAGGAGGACCAACCCATCTCACACACGCGGGGGCAGGCTCTGACGCCCCTCCCTCTGTCGTGGCTGAGGGAGGAGTACCCAGATGAGCCTCTCACGTGGGAGGGGGATGAAAAGGAAGGGCAGGGCCACCCAGCAAGCCCCCTTCCCGCAGGAAAGGGGGCGAGAAGGCACAGCCCAGGGCAGCCCCAGGGGCACAGGGAAGTCCCCGTGCACGCCCCGAGCGGCGGACCGACGCAGCACGCAGGCCGTGGGCTGGAGAGGAACCGGCCCGAGAATGGACAGCGGAGGGGCGAGGTGGAAGGGGGCTGCATCCCCCAGGGGAACGGACCGAGGGCTGGGTGAACGCAGGCCCAGGCAGAAGCAGGCACGCGGTGCCCGGTCACGAAGACGGAGAGCAGGCAGAAGCTCACGGGTGCGGAGGGCAGAGGGCGTCCACCACGTGGATCCCTCGAACCCCTGGGAGAGGAAAACCCAAGAAACGGCGCAGAAGGAGCCGGAGGCACGCACCAAAAGGACCCCTCTGACGTGAAGGAGCACGCCCCGCGCTCCAGGGAAACGTGATACAGACCCCCGCTGCAGGCGTGCCCCCGGCTGGGCTCTCGACCTTCAAGGACATCTCCACCCACCAGGGAGACAGCGCGGGACCCGTCACAAGAGCTAAAGACGGGACGGAGTTGGGCTTCTCTCCAGCATTGCATGGGGCCGCGCGGCAACAGAGCAGGGTCTGCACGTCCCAGGGCGGGGGGGCTTGGCCCCGCAAGCCGGGGGCTGGCGTGTTCCTGAGAGAGATCGGAGCGTGTGCGCGGCTCGTGAGCACCTGGAGGCGTCGCCCAGGTGAGGGGCCGCTGTAAAATGAAGACTCCGGGGATGGAGGAGCTGCGTGCGGGGAAACAGCAGGTGGAAAGAACGGAATCTGCTTAAAAACGCTGAACAGCGGGAGTCGGAATTCCTGAACGTGATGTGCATGCTTTAAACTTGGACTAGGCAGGGAGAACAATGTAACGAACGAAAACCTGGAAGGTGGTGGAGGGGGGTGTCAGGAGGGGGAGAGCGCCCGCGTTCTCGTCCCGCGGGCCCCAGTTCGCAGTGGGAATCGAGTTCAGACACACCTGAAGGGCTCGACCCTGTTCATGTCTTCCTGGCCTCTTGCTTAATCTTAGAAGGCTCTTTCAGGAACTAATACCTTCTGGGGTGGGGAAATATTTATCTGAAGGGCAGCAATTTCTCATGCTGTATTTCCATCCCTTTTTTTTTCCTGGTTAAATTAAAATAAAATGAAAGTCCATACTGTTCATTAAAAACAGCAAGCGTAGCGTGATTCGACTTGCACAGACTCTAGCCTCACATCCGTCCGTCCGCCGCCCGCTCTGTGTGCACGCATGTACCTTCTGCGCACGGAACACTGCCCCGAATGTGTTCGCCTGCCGCTGGTGGGAACTTGGGTAATTGTTCTCAAGTTTTAAAAACAAACGCAGAATACAGGCTGAGAAGAACAAAGCACTGGGTGCCCCCCCGCCCCCCCACCCCCGGCAGGGCAGGGCACCTCCAAAGCAGAGGGGGCGGGGTGTGGGGAACGCAGCCCTCGAGGTATCAGCCGAGCGGCTGTGTCCTTGCGGGGTGGGTAGCAAGTCTCTCGCTGGGCGGTGGGGTGTGGGTTCCCGGAGCAGAGCCGCAGGCCCCGACCTCTCTGCCGCTCAGAGCCAGGGAAGGGACCCGCTGCCTGGGAAGGGACTCCCTGGATGGCCCGGGCTGGGGGGGACGCCGAGAACGCAGGCTTCCTCCCCGGGTCCGTCCATGTGGACGACGACAAAGGGCCCTTGTGGAGTCCAGGCCGACTGCTGTCCGGCAAGAAGCGCTGGGGGTGCTCACGGGCCTTCAGGGGGACGGGGCGGTGACTCACCGCCTGCGGCCTGTCCAAGGATTATCTCATGGGCAGAAGTATTTACGTTTTTCTCCTTAAGGGACATTAGTGTTAATGAAAAACTACTGTCTCTTTAATAGTGCTACCGGCACGGGAATGGAAAATATTACCCCAGAATCTAAGTGGGAATAATTTCACACTCCGGGGTCCACTTTTAAGCACAGCAAGTGCTTTGTAAGTAAAATGAGCTCAATTTGTGGCAAACATGATTTTAATGATATTCTCTGGCTTTCATCTATTGTTGTTACTGTTACGTAATAGGTCAAAATTTCATATTGGATTTTAACAAAGTATCACACAAAAGCAACCACCGATATTATGTCTCGTTCCCAAAGTCATCGCCAATCGGCAGAGCCACCTGTGGGGCTCGGAAGAACCACGGTTTTCAGGCCCCACCCCGACGTCCGGGGAGTCCGCAGTCCTCCCGGCTGCCCGCTCCGCAGCCAGGGCTGAGGGCCGCTGGCGTGGGGCTGGCGGAGGCGGGGCGGTGCGCACAGCCGTTCCCAAGGCCCGGTGAGTCGCGGGTAACCCGAGGGTGTCTCTAGTGACCGCGGTCCCCTACGGTTCTCAGTGACCGAGGTGAGGAGCAAGCGGGTGATCCAACAACGCTCAGACCCCGCGCCGGACGACGTGAAAGCAAACACCGCGGCTAACAGGAGACAGAGGAGCTACAGTGTACGTACCAGAGGCGATGGGTAAGATGGGATTTAGAAGAACACACGTAAAGGTGACATTCGGGGGGCAAAGGATCAGTTACAAGACGGCCGAGACTTGCCTCGATGTGTCAGGTTGTATGAAAACGCTCTGGGGCTCACGGCTGACCTCAGGCTCGAAACGAGCCAAGAAGCTGTCCCGTCAACACGGCAGGGTGGACAGGAAACACCCTCCGCCTCCCTCTCAACAGGCAGAAACGCCGCCAGAGTTCCCAGGGGCCACAGATGAGACGGACCGAAGGCCAGGACCGAAGGCCAGAGCAGGGGGAGTGGGAGATGCGGCCAGAGGGCCCAGGGCTCCGCAGGGAACTCGCTCTGCCCCGTGAGGGCTGCGTGGGACGGACACGGGGCCGCAGCCAGCGCCGGCCAGCGCGGGTCCTGCGGAAGGCTGGGGCCACGGGGAGCCGCCCCGTCTATGAAACAGACTGTTGGAGAACTCTGTTTGCCGGCCCGGAGATACGGCCAGAAGGCTGTCCTTCCACCCAGCACTGGCAATCACCCGTGACAGCCGGCGCCTGCACCTTGCGCAGCCTGGAACCCAAACCCTCATCACCCACACAATCTGGGAGCGCCAGGCTGCGAAGTTCACCAAACACCCTCCTCAGGGCCTGGGGGCCTGGGGGCCTGGGGCGGACGGCACCACTGCGGGCCCGGTGGCGTCAGAGGTCGAGTTCTGCGCGCATGCGTTCTGTGTGTGCTGGGCTGGGAGGGAGGGTGGGCACTCACTTGTAGTTGTCGTCTTCCACAAACTTCTGGAGCTCTTCGATGTAGCGCACGGACTTCAGGTACTTCTGCACGTGGGGCAGGGTGGTCAGGTGATCTGCCGGAGGTGGACAAAACCCAGAGGCTTCAGTCTCTCCCCTCCCCAGGCCCCAGGTGAGAAATGCAGGAATTGCCGACTCTGGCACCAGACGTCGGGCACTGGGCACAGAGGGGCCGTCGGGCCTGGGCTCTGCCTTCGCAGAGCTCCCCCAGATGGCTGGGCCACAGACACCACACCCCGAGGCCACCATGGTTCTTTGGTCAGGGAAAGGTCAGGGACCTTGGGGAAAGGTGGCCTCCAGAACAGGCCACAACCGGGTGTCTGTGTCCTAAAACAGGTTTCCGCTGGGGTCATCTGGCAGGCCTCCCAGGCTTGCCCACTCATCCAGCCTGGCCCCACCCAGATCCTGGCGCAGCTGGAGCACCAGGCCCAGGGGCTGCAGCTGCTGCATCCTGGGAAGGCAGGGACGGGCCCAGATGCTCAAGCACCTGCTCCGTGCCAGGCTCTGTACCGAGAAACTCCTAGGAGTCACTTGCTTCAGCCCTCACAGCCGCCTCATTTGGGGTACACATATGTCCGTTTCACAGAGGAAGAAGTCATGGCAACTTGCAAAACTTATGTCACTGAGAGAGAAGTGGCAGAGCTGGGTTTTGATCCTGGGTCACCTTCCACCCCGCACTGCCTCTGTTTTCCGGGGTGGCTGATGCCAGCTGCTCTCCGCAGACCTTCAGGGTCACTGCACTTCTGGGGGCGCCTAAAGTCCTCTAGGACCCTCTCTGCCGTTCCCCGCGGGCTGGGGCAGGACACAGGACGAGCTGGAGGACAGGTGGAGGCGGTGGGGCGGGCTGTGAAGAACAGCAGAGAGGAGGGGAGAAGGGCCCTCACTCTCCGGGGTGCATCCAGGTCACGTGAGGAGCACCTGATGGCTCTGCCCCTGAACTTTGAGATTCTGAACATGTCATTTTTTAGGGTCATCCAACCTGCAGCCTGTGGGCCGCACACAGCTCAGGGTGGCTATGAATGTGGCCCAACAGAAAATTGTAAATTTACTTAAAACATTATGAGATTTTTTTGTGTGCGATTGCATGTTGCAGTGCATTTAATATGTAGCCCAAGACAACTCTTCTTCTTCCAGTGTGGCGCAGAGACGCCAGAACACTGGGAGCTCCCATGAGTGTCAGCGTTCTCGTCTGTGCTGTGGGGACGACACCGCCTCCCAAAGCTGACGACGGGGCGGGGGCGGGTGACAGTGGGAAAGCGAGCGTTTGCTGAGCTCTGACGAAACGCCCGGGCCCGCACAGGTATGTCCACACGTGTACAGATGAGAACACCTCAGACTTAGAAAGTGACTTTTCAAGAGTCAGGGCTGAGATTTGAACTCTAGTCTGTCTGACCCCACAGCTGCGTCTGAAATTGCTCTGCTGGCCGGCAGGACACTGAGCGTCGATGTGACTGTCAGTGGAAAGGGCCTCGGGGGGCGAGGGCTGCACAGGGGGCACAGCCCCGCCCCTGCTCCTCTGGTCAGAGAACAGCTGGATGGCCCTCCCAGTGCTCTGACTGCCCAGCTCCCTGGCCCTCCCCCAACAACCGTCTCCTCCACCTGTTATTTCAGACCGCCCCCTTCACGGTCCCACCTGGGGTCTGGCCGTGGTGGGCAGAGCCTGGCTAAGTTGTCTGCCACACCATTTCCCTCTTTCCCGGCAACCCACAGCCGGGCTGCCTTTCCCAGCCTCCCTCCGCAGAGGTACTGAGTGCCACACGCAGGTCTGGCCCACAAAGCCTAGTCTCACGTGATGCTCTCTATCCCTGCATCGTCCTGTCACGTTCAGGGAGGACTCAGGAGGGTCCCGGGGACACGGCAGGGCCACACGGTGGAGCAGCCAGGGCCCCTGAGTCCGCCTGCAGGAGAGCTGCCCAGGAGCTGCCCACACAGCTCACGAATATTCTGGCTTGAGAGCCGGACAGACCAGGACTCTGCCACTCACTAGACATGTGATCGTGCAGACATGTGACCACCTGTTTACACCTCAGTTTCCTCACCTGCAGTACAAAGATGGGGACCTCTGGTCTGCACAGTTTGTGAAGATCAACCGTGTATGTAAAAAATCGAGCATGCATTTGATGCTCAAAATAGAGCTTTCTCATGGACAAGGGGCGGGACCCAGATGTCAGGGGCGCAGTGTTTCTCAGTGCCGGCAACCCGGGTACTCACCGTAGCTGCAGGAGACTTGTAAGTCGGCAATGATTCGGAGAATGTTGTTCATCTGATTGGACCTTTGCTCGTTTTCCATGATGCTGCCTGAGGCAGGATACGCAGAGTCGATGTAGATTAAGTCCAGAAGATAGATCCCTGAAAGCAAAGAAGGTACTGAGTGATGGGGGGTGCTCACCACGAACCAGACAGGACAGCACCAAACAGAGCTGCCCTGCTGGGCGCTGCCAAGGGCGACACACGGGAGACTGAGACACCCTTGGACTTCAGCTCCAGTCCCGACTGACTTTTCACACAGATGGTCCGGCGATAAATCGAACCTCTGTGTGACAACCAAAATGAACGCCGGCAAGATTTCAGCACCTGTGGTCCATGCGCTCTTCAGCAACGAGGATTCTCTTCCTTGTAGCCCATGTGGAAAATAACGGGACGTAAAGGAGATGGATGAAGACTCATGTTTCTCACCCACTGATGAAGTTTAAGAGGTCTAAGGTATCACGTCCAGAAGAACCCATTTGGGTGAATTCAGTTCTTATTTACTCACCTAGCTGTACATCTGCGTGTCTATCTGTACTGGCGCACACATACACCCCCCCCCAATCATAAATTAACTAGGAGACAGAAGAAGAAATTTTAAAAAGCAACAGTCCTTGTGTACAAAGCTAAGGCTAAACAGAGGGTTCCCCTGAGGGTGCTTAGTAGGAAAGTAACAGTGATGTAAAAGTGCAGCCAGGACAGGCCAGTGTGGACCCTCGGCACAGCCCCCTGACATCAGCCAGGGGGACGCTGGAACGCGCCGCCTGGCCAGCGGCGGGCAGGAGGGTGGCGAAGCGGCGTGACGCGCTCACGGCCCTCAGCTCCCTAGCCTGCCCCAGGAGCGCAGCCCAGACCCTCTGGGGACATGCGGCCTCCGCGAGCACTGCCCTACGGCCGTGACGTGGGCGGGGCTGACCGGGAGTGGCGATGCAAGGCAGAACTCGGGGCAGAAAACAGTGGCCACGGGGTGATTGGACCTGATCAAGTCACAGCTGACTGAGAAGATCTAATGACTGAGCACTTCGGGACCCAGAGCAACGCTGCATCAACATGCACAAAGCAGAAGTCTGTCAGAAATAACAAGTGAATTCAACAACAACATAACCGCCCAGGGGCCTTGGGCGTGTCTCTTCTAGAATTTGTGTGTGTGTGTGTACAAAATACACACACACAGATATATGGGTATATTTGTTCATATATGAATATAGTATTTGAGTAACAAAATCAACAAGCTTGGTATTACATAAATGAAAGTGTGGTTCTCTTCTAACAGCCATGGAATGCTCACAAAATTGATTATCTGCTAGACTGTAAAGAAAAGTTTAATAAGTTTCAAAAAGTAAATTAGCCATATTCTTTGGCCTTGTAGTACATGCAGGATTTAACAATAAATACTTAAAAAGTCTAACCATTTGAAAAACACGCACATGCACACATACACACACCCACAAGAAGCTCTCAGATCAAATAGAAACAAAAAACCTAAAATAAAAATCTACTTCAAGACAACGACAGTGAGAACACATGTTAACAGTTCACGGCATCGGACTAAAGCAGTAATCAGAGGAAAACCTATAGCCTTAGAAGTTTCCCGTTAACCTACTGACCGTTACTGCAGTGTAACTAAGCAGGCGGTCAGACGCCGGGGGTTCTGCACGGGTAAGCGAGCACCGTGCCGACTCGCACACCCACTGCGTGAACGACCCTCACAACACCCCACTTTCCGGAGGAGGAACAGGAAGCGCAGCGGGATGTGCAAGTGGCCCCGGGCCACACAGCTGGTCACTGCGACGGGGCCCAACTCGAGCAGCTGCCCCTGAGGACTCCGCTGCCAGCACGGTCGGCGGCGGCTGCTGCTGGGTGCCCCAAGCCATTCCTCTGCTTCTGAAAGAGCTGCGCATTGTTACGGCAAACATTCAACCACAGAAACATGTGCCAACATTTCTCACAGGAACCATCCCCACCTCCACTCTTTCAGTGGCATCACGTGTCCGAAGTTTCAGTCATTAGAAGTAACTTCCCCTGCCCAGCAGCTCCAGGTTTGGTAGGTTCGGGTCCACAATTTACTCTTCCTCTGGACCTTGTTCTTTCTCTCTCCCCTTAAAATGGTGGTAACTCAGCTACCTCCCCAGGGATTCGGCGGTGGTGACCCTGAAAATCCCGCCCCCTGCTTCGACTTTGTGCTGAGCTGGAGGTGACGGGATGAGGGACGGGGCGGCTTCGCTCCAGGTGAGAGCCTGGTGCAGACTCGACTCGAACCCAGCTGCCTCTGTGTGGCTGAGTGCCGCTCGGCCCAGCAGCAGACACGCCGCGGAGCAGGACGGAGCAGGACGAGGGAGGGAGAGACAGACGCTTCCTGGGGATTCACCACCAGCTGGGAGCTCGCCCTCCTTCCTCACCCCTGCGATCCTCCCACCGACCCAGGAGGATGAAAGAGGACACAGCAGCTCAGAGGAGGGAAGAAACCCGCCGCAGGCCTCACGGTGGGCGTGCGGGCTTGGACCAGGTCTGTTTGGCTCCAGCGCCCAAGCTCCCACCCTTTCATTGGCCATCGGAACACACCGGGAATCACCTTTTCTCAGGTAACAGCCCAGCAGGGAAGCCGTGCCCTGTTCCATCCTGTGAGGATGGGCGCTGGCCCCTCTGCTTCCTCACAGGTCCCGGGCTCTGCAAACAGAGGCCAGGAGGAGCTTGCCTTTGAAGGCACCGGCACACCATTTCCATCACCCCACCCCCACTTGCACCCTGGGAGCACGGGGAGCTCACTACTTCGTAAGAGCAAATGCCACTGTTCGAGCATTTATCACCCACCTCCACGAAATGCGCAGACCCCGGCACCTGCCTGTTCCCCAGAACCAGAGAGGGCGGGCCAAGGCCGTGACATGCTGAGGACTGGGGGGACTTTGCAAAGGAGGCCTCCTGGCCCGGGACCCGGAGCGAACTCGATCCGCAGCAATGCCTGGACAGAACCGCCAATAAAGTCCCTCACTCCCATAATAAAACCGCCAAAAGCAGCAAATCTTCCACAGTTAATACTGCACAAATCCAGGGAGATCTTTTCGGTATTATTAGCCTGTAACTGGAAATATTTAAAAGCCTGCACCGTAATGAAGTCATAAAAACAGCCACCTCCCACGTGTGCTGTGCCGGCACTGTGCTAAGCCCCGTGCGCGGTCCGCACGACCACTCCTGGAAGTACGTGCTCATCTGGGTCTCCGCGCCCTTAGTGCCTGGTCCCGGCAGCATCAAAGGCCCTGCAAGCACAAAGTGTGTCTTGCTCCACGAGCTCAGTCCCCAGCGGCCAGAACACAGCGCTCGGGAGCCCCTCGGTAAACATTAGCTGAAAGAAGGAAAGCGTGAATGAAGCCATATTTTCCTGAGTACACGCAGTAACCCAACGAAGGACATCATTCCCCTCATTTTGTGGCCGAGGAAAGAGACACAGAGTCAGGTGGTGAGGATCATGAGCCTGAGCACCACGTGCCCGGTCCTAAGCTAGGAGCGTTGCCCAGAGTGTCGACTCCTGACACACCAGCGTTGTCAGGGGGTGTTCTCCCTCTTTCACAGAGGGGGGCACTGAAGCTGCGAGAGTCACTTCACTTTTCTAAGGCCGCACAGCTGGGATGTGATGGAGGCGGGATTCGAACACAGGTCTGTCCGGGCTGCCGTGATGTCTCTTTTTTTTTTTTTTTTTTACCCCAGCCAGTCCTCTGGTGCCTGGCGGCTGGTGAGGCGAGCTGAACCCACAGGTTTCCAGGCTACGGCGCCCCTGCCTGCTTTCTCCTTTGGCGTCAACACCCTCCAAGGAGGCTCGCGGCTGTGCCGTGGCCACCTCCCCCTCCTACGTCTTCCACTTCCTCCCACTGCCTCCCCGGCACCCATTACCGTGTGTCTGTCCAGGCTCCATCGTCGGTGCGCCCACCCAGGCCTGGGGGCCCTGCCAGTTCTGCTACGTGACAGGCAGCTGTGGTGTGAGCGGGAGAGTGTGGGGCTCCGAACCGGGAGGCTTGGGGCCCTGGTGCTGCCACGCTGGGTGGCCTCGGGCAGGCCTTTCACCCCCCAGGGCCTCAGTTTCCTTGACTGTGATGGGGAGTGATGGCAGTGGTTGTGAGGAGTCTGCTGGCCCAGGGCCTGTACCACTGAGATGCCCAGGAAGCCGAGCTAACCTCGAGCCTGGCTCCGTGGCGAGGCCCCACGGGAGGGACGCACCGGCGGGGTTTGCCATAACCGTGGGTGGCGCCCAGATGCAGACCATGTGGTGGCCGCCCACCTCCGGCAGGCCAGTGCTGGGAGCTTCCATCTGGGCTGGGACAGCACAGCTGGGGCGTCTCAGCTCCCTTCCTACTTTACAGAGTTACCGCAGCCAGTGAAACTGTGTCACTGGCTTCGTTGAGCTGCAGAGTGACTGGACCAGCCACTGGCCCTGGCTGCCATGGGCCTGAGTGGCACCAGGGACTGGGGCTAGACTGGGAGGGACGGACACTTTGGAGGAAACAACCATAACTGTAACCACCACGCTCTGCGACAGGAAAGGCTGGCCTGCCTGTCTCATGGAATTTAGGTACTCCCATTTTCCCATTTCACAGATTCGTAAACCAGAGCTTGGAGCAGTAAGGTGACTTGTCCAAGGTCACACAGCTTGCAAATGGGGCAGTCAGGATTTGAACTCAGGTCTGCCTGACTCCAAAGATTTGGGACAGAGAGCAACACTGTATGCTGGGGCTGGAAGTCATTGGCTGGCACAGGGACGGGGGTCCCAGCCACAGAGATGGGGGCTTGAGGACCCCTGCTGTGCCCTGCTTTCTCGCCCCCGCCCCCCAGTGACGCTGCTGGCAGCCTGTGGCTTGCCCACCTGCAGACTGGACCTCCTCTAAGACGGACAGCTACCTGGACACGCCTGTGCTCTGCTCCCGCCTGCCATGCCCCACACGGGGCCTGGTGTCATTGCTGTGGCTGCAACATACGTGCCAACCCGCCTGCCGTGGTGCGGCCGATGGCAGTGAGCGGCCCTCGGCGTGCTCTGCTGTAGATGCCCTCCGCAGCTGGGCTGGTCCCAACCCCAGGGGCATGTGGCCAAACCCTCTTCCCGACAGTGGATCCAG